GAATCGGTTGTCAACAAGCACGCCACACACAACCGTGGGCCACGGATAGTACCGAGCAGCAAAACACACGTGTTTTCAGGAAATTAAAAGCCAAAAAGTGAAAGTATGAAGGAGTGTTCCAGAGGGAGCTAATGGGAAGTTATGCAATGTGGCGGAAAGATTAGCAGACTTGACATTGTTGCATAATGCTGAGTCCAGACAGTAATCCATACAGCAACCTGCCTGGTTGGCAGACAGCACTCAGGACAGGCAGCCGGAACCTGCTCTGTGCAATACTGCATTTTGACACATGCTTTGTATATTTTTTCAACGTATTCTTATAACAGTGGCCTTTAAAACATTTCTCGTAAGTAGAGTAATTTATAACACACTAGAGTTTTTTAAACAGCCCCAGAGAACACAAAACAAGCGTACCYTCTCTGCAGTGTGACGCGCAGCATATTTTCCCTCTCTCACATTTCTCTGCAAAGGAGCATCAGCTCAATCGAGCTAGATTGATTTCAGTCGGTGGCTTTCCAAAATCATGTGGCAGCCACCAGGCCAATGCAAAGACGCTAAAAATATATATATATTTTAAATACCCCACCCGGGGGCTCCATTGTGGCCACTACTATGGTGTGTCTGGTCTCACAAGTCCCCACTGAAAGCCATCAGATTACAGATGCAAACAATTCATCTCACTTACACAGTTTAGTAAAGCTGTAATTAGAGCAAAGGAAAAARTGAGGCATCCAGGGCATGGTTAGAAYGAGTTAGAGAYGGCAAAGAATAAAAGAAAAGCTGGTAAATTGTAGGTGAACTTCTTATTAGAGCAGACTCAGTATCTGTGAAAGTGACTGAGTTATAGCTGTTTGTGTGTTGGTTAAAACTGATTAGCTTTAAGTTATTCAGTTGTACATTTTATGTCATAATTTARCAGAATCTCAATTAAGGCCAGGCCTGGTTTATTTGCACATAACATAATAGGATTGTGGTGATCCAAACAGTGTGTTAAATGTACTATTTGCTGCACGGAGTGGGGGTTGTACTATAGAGTGAAAACAATGGACAAAGATCTCTTGACATCTCAAAGCTTCCCACTCTGTTTATGAGTCATATGTAACCAGAGCTAATATTTTCCTATGAGTCATATTGAAATTTTTTTTATGTTGCTCAGACCATGGACAGGTCAGCAGTCTGTCACAAGGTGCTGGTCTTTACTCTCTGTCATTCAGGACGATAATCTTTAGATATCAAAGACAATTTATCTTTAGAGGTTTTAGTKTCATTGTATCATAATCAAAAATGTTTTTAAGAACATATGAACAAAAGTTTCAGTTGTCTACTTGTTGCACCTTTAATTTTTACTAATTATATAATACATAGCACAGAAGTCTTATTTTGGCGAGCCAGCTGCACATGCTTATAGTGGAAAATCACATCTACATTTCATGCATTTCTCCTGAAATCCCCCCCAGCTCCATGATTTAATGTGAAATGACACTTGATGAAGAACTACACATGAATACGCAGATAAGCTCATACAACCTCTGGCAATTCAGCATTTCCAGTTCACCTGTGCTAACTTGTTTGAACCATGGGAAAGCATGCACAGAAATACTGACAGGTGTTCTATGCAAATATGCACATAAAYATTAAATCACCTTGGAGGGGGRAAAAAGGAATTAAATGAATTGATAKAAGTCTCACAAACAATCCTCGTTTTTACTGTTGCTAACATTTGTGCAGGGCTGAGTATTTTCTTTGACTCTGTTAAACTTTTAAACTCTTTATGTAAATATTATTGTATGATAAAGCAAATAAACCTTGAGGTTCTTCCATATGTTCCCACACACTCTCCATGCACATAGTAATACAGCTCATAAAATGCAAATACGTGAACTACAGATGTGCCATTACCTTCAACAAGTATTGGCACAAAAATAATATGTTTATATTTATAAGAGAAACTAGATAAACTGCATTTTGTGCTGAGTGTTGAACAGCCGAAAACAGGGTTGTTATAGTTGAAACAAGCAGAAAAGAGGTTAAAATAAGCTAAAGTAACAGCGCACAAGCTAAAAACTAAACTGAAAATAAGACTTGCAAAACAGTTAGCCAAACTGATGTTGAAGCTTAAATGAGCAAAAACAGTACCTAAAGTTAGCGAAACAGTAGCTAAAAGTAGCAAAACATGCTCAAATTAATAGAACTGTTGCTAAAAGTAGAAAAGCATATTCTAAAATTATCTAAAACTAGTCAAAATTAGTAAAACAGATGCTAAARTGACTATTTTAAACCTAACTTAAAGAAGCAAATGTGATGTTATAACTAAAATCAGCAAAAYAGTAGCCAAAAGTAGCAAAACATATGCTAAAACTRACAAAAAACAGCCAAAAGCAGTAGATGCTAGAGCTAAAAATAACAAAAGTAACTCAAAGTAGCAAAAGCAACGTTAAAACTAAAATCAGCAGCTAAAAATAGTAAAACTGTACATAAAAGCTAAAAATAGCAAAACTGTTGCTAAAAGAAACTGAAAAAAGCTAAACGGTGCAGAATGGTAGCTTAAAGCCAAGAGTAGCAGAACAGTAGCTAAAAGTTAAAAGTATCCAATCTGTAGGTAATTTGTAAAAGCTTTAGGATGGTTGCTAAAAGCAGCAAAAGAAAAGTTATCAGATTTCATTGAGAGCAATAATTTTGAAGGAACTGAAGATGTCAAACATTAAAAGCAGATCACTGCAGGTTAGTGCCGTTTACTGGTAATCTGCTAGCTTGTGTGTGTGTAGGTGTGTGTGTGTGTTTGCGCATTTACATAACTTCCCGGCCCTATAGAGAGATAACATTCCCTGGAACTTTGATGCTTCTGTTTGGTTAGCGGCTACACAAACTCTTCTCCACAGAGGGTATCAGAGGCGGCACGAGATAAAACAAAAAAATGGAAAGTTCACTGGAAGCCAAGGTCACGTTCAATGTTTAACATCCAAACTGGAAAGTTGACTTGCCCAAATGGAACAGCTGGCTCCTCCAGCCGTCTGATTATGTTTCCATGTGCTGTTTGTGTTGTTGTTGTTGTTACTACACACACATGCACGCACGCACACTACTACAATGTTTTCATACTGATGTCAACGCATGACGAAGCATTCTCTGGTATTATCTTTAAAATACTTCCTTTGTGTTTAAAAAGTCATCATCATTAAGTTCTGGGACAAAGGCCAAACATCTATTGTGATCTCTATTTGGATGTTGATCTGTTCAGAAAAGCTCAGAGTCAGAGGTGTAAGGAATTATATTTTGGGTTTTATATATTTGYCAACCCAGTTCAGGATGACTACACTGCCTAATGCAGTGGTTCCCAAACTTTTTATCTTCTGACCCACAAAATATCCATGGCAAAAACTTGTGACCCCAAATACTTTATTACTGGTCTGAGTACACAAACTTTGTTAATAACCCTAAAAACACAGGTTTTTTGAYAATCTAAACAGCTTRTACACAAATATAAAAACTTATTTTTACTTATTTTGTGTTTTTGYAATAATTATAGGGAAAATATTACATCAGCAATTATTTTATTACCCTTTAAATTGATTTCTGGAGATTATCCAAGGTGCTTCATGACCCATAATTGGGTCCCAAGCCCAACTTTGGGAACCAAAGTGCAGTGGTTCCCAAACTTTTCAGCTTTTGACACAAAATAACAGTAGCAGAGACCTGTGCCCCCAACTATTTTTGGATGATAAACATTTGTATCAGGTCAACTAATCATGGACATAGTAACAATATTTTTATACTACATTTATCCATTTTAAATACACTAACCTCACTCCTTTGTAAAAACTAAGGGAAAAATGTAATTAATTCAGAAAATTTTTTCAGGACCGCACCTTGATGTTTCAGGACCCCACTTTGGGTCCCGACCCCAACTTTGGGAAACACTGGCCTAATGAAGCTTTAAAACACAAAAATGGATAAAACTCTTTAAATTTTATATATACTAAGCTAAAGATTTGGTGTAGTATTAGCTAAGATTCAGCCCAAATAAGCATCGAGTATGATTTCATAACTCATACTCTACATATGCTTGAAAAAAACTTTACCTGTTGGAGTAAACCCAGTTTGTCTGTTAGCAAAATAACTCATGAACCACTGGATGGATTTCTATCAAACTGTCACAAACTATTACATTGAATATACATCTACAACTGATGAAGTTTTAGATTAAATCAATTTTAAGATGACCGCCACAGCTAATGAACATTAGCTAACACAAAAATATCTGTAACTCAGAGTTTTACAGATGTCAAGTTAAAATTTGGCACGTGACTTCTTGTGTGATTGTATTTTTTAAAGGTTAGGCAAAAAAATCCACCATTTAAAGTAGCTTAATTWAAAAAAGTCTTGTATTAGAAGTGGTGGGTGATATGCATTCCTTTGAGGAAAGCCAGACCTTTATTCTGTATTAGTTTTTAATTGTTAGGGGGGAAAACTTTCCTCAAAATAAATTAATATTTAAAAAAAAATCACTGTTAAAACAGGCAAACAAAACCAGTCACCTTTTCGAAATGGATATCCACAATATTCTTTTGTATTTAATAAAACTCGTGAAATATTTTTAGGTGAAGKTTTTTTTATTAGTACTTGCAGTACTGCGTTGTTTTTCCTGGTCTGCGCTGCAGAAAAGGAAAGAGGAGGGGAGACAATTGCCGCCACGTGCGCTCAAACGCCTGCTTTATTATGAAAACTTTCTCCTGATTGGTCCAGATAGAAAACACAGTATTTATAGACGACATCTAATTGGCTGTCTTCTCCGAGACAACTAACACAGCGCAAATCCTWCCAGACAACGGATTCTTGCGCGTCTAGTACTATCAGAAAGTAGTGCGTCGTAAAAATGTATAATTTGAAGCATTTATTTGGTTTGATTTGTAATATGACTGAACAGAATCAACACAGAATTTGTATTTAAGGTGTTTCAAGAATTTTTTTATTATAAATCCGTGTTTTTGCGCTTTGCTTAGATAAAAGAGTCGGTTTGTGTTGGTGGCGGAAGGATACCTCCCATCCAGGTGACGCGTCAAAATATTGGCTTGGGAAGACCGCGCCAAAGCACAGACAGTGGCCACTCTTCAGGATAACAACACATCACCGTGGCCCTTTAAACACACCGAAGGGTCGACGCGGTCGCTGTGTGATTTTTTTCTTCACTCGGCTTGTTTCCTTACGGAGGATTGTTTTCGTCGGGACTATCTTTTGTCGGCGCACAGGAGCCAGATTTGATGCCGGTTTTCGGGAATCTGTGCGCGACTTGGTCGTGACTGTGGGGGGGACTGTGACGGGCGCGGTGCGGCGGAGTTGTGGATACAGCGTGTTCCATCGCACCACCATTATTTAGTCGCACACATTGCGCCTAAATTCATCTGTTTTCAGTCGCCTTCTTTCTTTTTGTCTTCATTTTGAAAGTCTCTCGCAGCGGTTGGACGGAGCTCGTTTTGTGCTTTTTCGCCACAAACCTACCGGCTTTTTCAGCTCGAATATGTTGCTGTCAAAGTTTGGTTCATTTTCGCACATTTGCAACCCCTCGAGCATGGACCACCTACCAGTGAAGATACAACGCCAGCCGGGTAGGTGACCGTTTTCTCCCCTAAAATTGCAAACAAAATGGGGGACATTTCCCCCTAGTAATTATTAGCTACTCACGGTTCAAACTGACCGTTAAGTGGCCCCTTATATATTCATGTTTTTTTTTTGTTTGTTTATTTCCCCTCACAGTTAAAGTGGAAAAGGAGCCCTTTGAAAAGGTTTACCAGGTGGGCTCGGTTTTAGGCAGCGGGGGATTCGGAACTGTGTACGCCGGCAGTCGGATCTCTGATGGCGCACCGGTAAGGTCGAAGCTCCGCTCTGTGTTTTTGATCCCTCCGCGCCGCTCCGGGGATTATTTCTCCATTTTCTGACACTTCCTCTCTTTTTTTGTGTTGCTCTTAAAGGTGGCTGTGAAGCATGTTGCAAAGGAGAGAGTGACGGAGTGGGGCACAATTGTAAGTACCCGATGTGTAGGTGTAGGGTTTGTT